GTGTCCATCGACGGTGAGCCGAAGGGAGATACCCCCATTCCATTGTTGGGTGTGAGGCTGAGTGAAACCGACAGCCCGCTGTTTTTTGGTCTTTCGTACACCCACGACAAAAAGTGGAGGGTGGCATTCAACGGCAGTTTTAAGGCACCGTCGCATGATGACGATGTCGAATGGAAACCAAACACGAAATATCATGTGGCACTGCATATGGATTCTGATGATGGGTTGATGGTGTACGTGGATGGAGAGACGATATACGACAGCGAAGATGAGGTCTATGGACACGAGGACGATGAGGATTATGAGAGCTTTCCTCAAAAGTTAAAAACGCTGTTGAGGCCCCACGGCATCTCGCACTTCTACATTGGCGGGGACGGCAAAAGCGAATCGGGCAACATTGATGTGACGGTGAGCAACGTCCTGCTGTACAACCGCGCATTGAAAGATGATGAACTTAAAGCGCTAACGAAGGCGGACGCTGTTGGCACTCCAGAGGCGAATGTTCCGTCTTTGAAGGGTGCGCCTCAAAGCACTCATGCGAGTGAAACTCTTATTCAACCTGACAGTGAGACTTCTGTCATAAAAGAAGTGAAGCAAGACGCCACGTCATCACAGCAGAGACAAGACGCACCAGATCGGCCACCAGAAGAGAAAAATAAAAAGGCCGCTGCTTCGGTCACGTATTCTGACAGCCATGCCGTGGCCGACACAAAGAGGAGGGAGGAGCAGATGGAGAAAGCGGCAACCGATGTTGATGACCTGCCGCCCCCCTTGTCTCCAGCACCGGAGGCAGCCAACGGCCACAAATCACCCGATGCCGAGGATGCTCTCGGCGTGGAGCACCCTGAACAGGAGGAAGAGTCGTTGCTGCCCATCGTGGCTGGATCGACGGTGGATGAGACGAGTGAAACGGATGAGGCCATTCTGCAGAGTCGAACCTCTGACGATCCGGCGCAGCAAACCACTTTACCTCTTGTTTCAGAGGGCGTGGACGACGAGCCGTCTTCTCTCTCCACGTCCACCAGCAATCAACGCAGCGACCGCGAAGAGAAGGAGGCGCACTCCCATGCTGCCGTGGGCACGAACAGCGGCCCCGACTCATCCAACACCACTGAAGTGACGACTGCGGATGTTACAACAGCCACCATTGAGCCCAACAGCGATCCAACAACTGTTCAACGCGAAGATGACGTGCCGGATTACGTTGGTGCTGCACCGAATCATCCGAGCACAGAGCCTGGGGAAAGAGATATCCAATCGGAGTCCAACGCAGCGCCGCTCTTGGGCAATGACCTTTTTGATGTGGAGAATATCACCGACTTGTTTTCTGTGGGTGTGAAGGGTGACAGCACCGTGCAGGGTTGTGTATCTCGGGTGCTATTATTGCTGCTGCTTCTGGGGCTGTGGGGCACTGTGGCTCTCTGCTGAGGTGTGAGGGTGGGTGGAATTGCGGCGTCCCGTGGAACAACAAAAGTGCAGCTTCCCAGCACAACGCACTGAATTTGTCAAGGAGACTTCTTTTTTTTTTCTTTTTTTTTTTACTTACTTTCTTTAAAAAAAAATTTTTTCTTTTTTTCCCTTTTTTTTTTGCTGCTGGTGTTCTATTGGAATAATCCGCGCCCCTGTGTTTTTCTTTTTTTAATGGTCGCTTGCTACAATCCGTCATCAGTGATGCCATTCCCCCTTTTTGTTTGTTTTTGACCACACGCGTTGCCGGCCCTGCGGCTGTGGAGTCCCACGGACTGCACGAAGGGAGGATTGGAAGAATAGGCCGGATGCCGCGTGAAATGTTGGGGATGTTGTGTGGGCTGGTGGAATAATAATGCGATCTTTTTTCTTTTTGCTTCAATTTTTTTTTCTTTTTGGTGCGGGCAATATGTATATAAACACGGTTGATTTGTGCTGCTCGGCACATGAAATAAAAGACCTGCCGCATCAATTTTCTATTAATTTTTCTTTTACTTTTGTGGGTCATTCCGGACTCCCACCCATTCTTTTTTGTTTTTTCCTTTACAATGTTCACTGCCGCTGAGTGCTTACGTGTCCCGTTGAGTGTTTCTCTGCTGGCTGTGCTGTTGACATGCTTTTTCTTTTCTGCTAGAGGCACTGATAGTCCGCGACGACGATTGTTTGTGTTCCCCATTGCGATGGCACGAGGGTGACTGGGCGCCGGCCTGCTGAGTGCACTCGGAGGAGAGCGGATGGTGTGCGCCGTGCCTCACTGTGAGTGTGGGTGCTAATCCGTCGGGGCAGAGAGAAGTGAAGGAGAGCGCCGTGGAGTTGGATGCGCCCTTTCCCTCTTTGCCGCCATGTGTGTGCGCATGGCTCCATCTCGCGGTGCGACGTGGATGGCGTTGCTATTGCATGTGTCCTCGTGCATGCGCTGTGCGGCGGGCTTTTCTTCCCCATGACACCGCCCTTGTGTGTGTGCGGGACAGTGAAGGTTGTGGAGATGTGTGATGGAGTGAGGGTGGCCGTTGTTTCCGCACATTTGGGAATTCCACTCAAAGGTGAAACCTCTCGGCAGCCTCTCGCAGCACCCAAGCCGTGGATTGAGAGGATGTGAGGGTTTACTTCAAGTACACGGAGGACAAGAAGATGCAGTGCGTGACGGCCAACCTGATCGTCCGTGTGTTTGCGGTGCATGGAGCACGTGCGCCAGTACGCGTTGGACGTAGCGCTGATGATTGGAGAGGAGAGGCGGCACGACGTTGTGGCGCAGCGGCAGCGCATGACGGCTGCATGTGGTGGGAGGGCCCGACGATCCCGAGGCCTGTGCTGGAGGGGCGCGTGTTGAAGTGAGCGTGGCGTGTCTGTGAGGGCCTGAGGAGAGGGAATAACAGCAACAGTGACTGTGGGGATGTGAGGAACGGTGCACGTCGAGGAGCGCTCCTCTTTTGTTTTGTTTTGTTAGTTTTTGGACCGTGCCCACCCAATTCTTGCTGCTGCTGTGGCCGCGTGAGAGTGGGGGAGAGAGCCGTGCACCGCCCGCACACACACTCGTCCTTCTCTCACTGTGTGTGTGTCCCCTTGCATGGACTCTCGCCCTCACCTCACCCCACGAGGCACACACAATAATGTGCCCATTGTATATATGCATGCACACCCATGCAGGCCCGTTGGTGCTCTCTTTTGCACGACATGCACCACTGCCGTCCTGCCTGGCTGCATGGGCGGAGCACCGTAACTGTTTCTGTTTTGTTTTTATTGCATTGAGTGGGCGACCTCTCTCTCTCTCTCCCTCTGTGTGTGTGTTTTGCTTTACGGGAGCAATGAGAGTGTGTGTGCGCTGGTCGTCCCACGCTTCGGCTTTTTGTTTTGTTTTCCTTTTTGATTTTGTGGTTGAGTGCATCCATTCCGCGGCTGCGTGTGTGTGTGTGTGTGTGATGATATGAGTAATTTGCGTGTGTGCCATCTGCCTCTCTCTGCTGTTGCTTTCTTCAGACTCTCTCGTATCGCAAGGCAGCTCCGCAAGTTTAGGCTTTGAAAAACACACGGACAAATGCGCAGAATCTCTTTGTTTCACACGCTGTGGAGTGGCGTGGACGCTGAGAACGCACGCACAATATTTTGTCTGCGGTTGTTCTTGCGAGGAGGGAGGTCGTGAGCCCGCGATTTGCCTCGTTGACGTGATGCGGTTGTTATTTTGGCGGCGTGCAGCAATTGAATGGTGTGGCGTTGAGGATGTCTGGGACGAGTGCCTATCGACTTTCCCCCAACAGCTGTACCTACCGACGTGTCTCTCCCGTCGTGGTTTTGTCGACGAGGAATTCTCCGGCTGTGTGGAATGATGTGCAGGAGCGTTAGGGGAGACAGCAGCCAAATGACTGGCGGCAGCGCATGAGTGCTGTGAAGGATGGTTGTGCCCTTTTGCCTCCCGCTGGTTGCTTTGTGTGTAGACGTTGTTCAGTGTCTGCTGACGCGTGACGAATAACGACGCACCCGCTGTGGCTCCTGCTGCTTCTTCTGGTGGTGACCGTCGCTGTGTGTTCCTGGTGCACTGTTCTTCCATCTCCTGTTCCGTGTGTCTGTGTGCGTGAGTTGTCGTTGTTGGGAGTGGCTGCTGCGGGGATGATGATGCCACTCACTGTGGATGGGTGGCGGTGCTTACTGTGTCACCTCTTTTCTTGGCATGTTTCTCTATTTCTCCCTCAATCACACACGAAGAAAACAAACAAGCGCTAATCGCTACTGTGAAATTCGAAGGCGCTGAAAGGACCAACAGCACACACACCGCCCACACACAGATATTTGTATGCTCTCACGTGTTGCTGCAGTGAAGGCACCCCGCACACACAACCGTTGCCGCGTGACCGGATCGAGCGGCAGGAGGAGGGAAGGAAGAGAGAGTGAGCCGCAGAGGCCCAACATGTCCCGGCGTGTGTTTACTTCCGCGGTGCTGCTACTCGTCTTGATGATGTGCTGCAACACTGGTGGGGCTGCGACCGCTGAGGAACCAAGTCAGGGAGCTTCGTCAGTAAAATATTATTTTTGGAGAGACGTGGAAGGTGGAGAAGAAACAGTGAGTTCGTTACGTGTTCCCAGTCTTGTTGAAGTGAATGGTGAAGTGTTTGCCGTTGCCGAGGCGCAGTGCAAGGAGGGTATTGAAAATGCCTTTACTGGGATTGCCTCGGAGCTCCTGGCGTTGACTGGTGAACAAGCAAGCAAGGAGTTGAATAAAAGCAAGCTGAAGACACAAGTACTGGAGAAATGTTCTTCCGAAGGAGAGAAAGTTACCTGGCGTATAGCGGATCGGGCTGATTCCTAAAAAGTGAAGAATTTACATGTGAGCCGACCAACTACAGTCGTGCGGGGAAGTGATATTTACATGCTTGCTGGAAGTTACAGCTGGACACTTACCGCCGATGATCAGGCAGGTGGCTGGGGACTCATGCTGGTGAAAGGGAACGTCAGTAAGAGGGAAGACGAAAGTAACAAAAAAATATTTTGGAGTGACACTTACGCTATCCCGTGGAGTTATAAAGGCAACCAAAATGAATCTTTGAAAAGGCTGGTTGGCAGCGGTGGATCGGGTGTTCAGACGAAGAACGGTGCACTTGTGTTTCCTGTGGAAGGGACGAAGAAGGAGGATGGAAAGACCGTTTCGCTGATCATATACTCGAAGGATGCTAAGAGTTGGAAGCTGTCGAAGGGGATGTCTGCCCATGGCTGCAGTGATCCCTCCGTCGTGAAGTGGGAGAAGGACAAACTCATGATGATGACTGCGTGTGATGATGGCCGCCGCAGGGTGTACGAGTCCGGTGACAAGGGGGAGTCGTGGACGGAGGCACTCGGGACACTCTCGCGCGTGTGGGGCAACAAACACACGGGACCTGAGAAGGGCGTTAGGAGCGGGTTCACCACAGCGACGCTTGGCAACTGTGACAGCAGCACCGCGGTCTCCCACACCACCTCCCCTCTTTTGCTTCTTGTTGTTGTTGCGTGTGCGGCTGCTGCTGCGGTGGTGGCCGTGTGAGAGTGTGAGAGAGCCATGCACCGCCCGCACACACACTCTTCCTTCTCTCTCTCTGTGTATGTGTGTCCCCTTGCATGGACTCTCGCCCTCACCTCACCCCACAAGGCACACACAATAATGTGCCCATTGTATATATGCATGCACACCCATGCAGGCCCGTTGGTGCTCTCTTTTGCACGACACGCACCGCTGCCGTCCTGCCTGGCTGCATGGGCGGAGCACCGTAACTGTTTCTGTTTTGTTTTTATTGCATTGAGTGGGCGACCTCGCTCTCTCTCCCTCTGTGTGTGTGTTTTGCTTTACGGGAGCAATGAGAGTGTGTGCGCTGGTCGTCCCACGCTTCGGCTTTTTGTTTTGTTTGTTTTCCTTTTTGATTTTGTTGTGATTGAGTGCGCCCATTTTACTTTTGAAAGGCGGCATACTGTGACGGCGGACACTTTAATCTTCTCTTCTTATATTCTCATATTGTTTCATTGTTTCAAAAGTGTCACCCTCGTGTATTCTTGTCGGGCCACTAATTTTTCTATACGCCTGCCATGCGTCAGTTGATCCACGTCACCCCGCAGCCACCAGCGCTGCTGTTACTTCTGCTTGTGATGATGCCTGTGATGTGTTGTGCATGCGGGTGCCTTGCTGTCACCCTGACGTGCCCTTTCTCCCTCTGACAAGGCGATGCGTGTCGCCAGCGCGAAGTCGATCTCGGCTGTGGTGAGGGACGTGTCCTTTTGGAGCAGAGGGTACGTCGCAGGCATACACCGTCATTGTGAGGAATGGATGGGCGCCTATCTGCATCGATGTTTCGACAAGGGACCTGGATGGTACCAGGAAGTATTGCAGCTCAGAGCGGCATTACGCAATGAATTCATTGGGCGAAAATTGTGACTGTAACGATGACGTTTTTTTCTACTGAGAATAGGGAAATATTTCTTTTTGTTATACGTTGCGGCCAATATTCGTTGATAGGCCGAGGACTGTCCGTAGAAACGTGGCCGAATTCTCCGTCCCGAACGGTGCTATCGTGCGAGAGGAGTTATCCCACAGCATGTGCGGCAGGGCCTCCCGTGGACCGTCAGGCGGCTGAGCGGCTGGTGGTGGTTGCAGTAGCGGAGTGGCTGGAGGGCTATGGCTGTCATTGGAGCTTGCAGAGGTGCGTCGTCCGTTTTTTGCTCGTTGACACACTTGGCATTTTCGGTATTGACCTGAAAAGCTTGCACTCCGCGGCGATGCATCGCTCAGCCCTCGTGCCGTTTCGTCTCCAACAGGCGTCACCACGTCTGGGGTCGTGCGTCGTGGCGTGGATCCAGGCGGACATCGGTGGTGTGCCAGCAGTGCTGACAGGCAGCGGTGGACCAGTCCCTCGCTCACCCCTAGCAGCATAGGGAGCAGCGGGATTTGCCGACAACTCTCTCTGTGCGGCATTTGTCCTTCCCGTGTTCGCGGATGGGAGTGGTGTCCGCCGTTTCCCAGAAACTCTGCAGGCTGCCGTCAGAGAGGTGTTGGTCATCGTTCAGTGCGAGCAGCGGGCAGCAGTTGCAAGATGGTGCAGAAACGCATTCAATACACTGCCGGGGCCAAGCCACGCCATGCAAAGAGTCGCGGATGGCGAGTCAAGCGCACACGGCGTGAAGGGCCAGTCCATATCTCGGTCACAGGGAAGCACGCGAGCAAAAAGTGTGCAGAAAGCAGTGGGGATCGTAGCACGTGCGACTCGGACAGTGTGACGGACGCGCGGTGTGCCTGCTGCCGAGGCGGAGCGAAGTCGCAGTCCCAACAGTACCGCAGCACAGCCGATCCCAGTGAACGGGGACGTGGTGCCGCCATGCCTCGAGGCATCGCAGGCCTGGGCTCGAGAGGGCACCAAGCTGCTTCGCACGGACCTCCAGCAACTTGGAGAAGCCACGACGGAGGGCATGATTGCGGTCCTCCCGTTTGCAGAGCACTTCAGCTCGGAGCAGGCTGCCTCCTGGTGAGGCTGTGTACACACTGCATGCTGCCGCTGCAACACTCGGCATGCTCCATTCCGTCCGTACTAATACCTCTGGAGCTTTCACGGCTGCCGCGCGGTGTGGTGCGCCTCGCCGCTCGTCCGGTGCCTCGGTGCATCTCCAACCATGTGATCACAGAGGCCAGAGGTGTTGCACACGCCGAGGTGGAGGCATTCCAGTCAGCTTCACGCAGGGAAAAGACAACAGCGGCATGTTTTCGTCGTGGCAGCATGCCTGCCAGTTGCGGGATGCCGTCCTCCGTCCCCGCAGTCTGCAATACCAGAGGGTGGTCCGAGTCCATGTAAACGGGTGGAATTCCAGTGGAAGACACGCAGGACGCGTTGCGCAGTCACTTCGGGAAACGAGACGCCGCGGCCGCTCATCCGCGTTGCCCGTGCCGGGTCTTCGGAAAACTCAGAGTCCATGCCGCTTGAGGTGGCGGCGAGGTCCTCTCCTGCCGTCGTTGGTGGTGAGCGACCGTCCCGCAGCTCATGGTGTAGATTCGGGTCGCACGCGATGGGCGCTGCAAGACAAAGGCGACGAATGTTGCTCGCAAAGTGAGCTACGTGTGGAGTTGCCGGGGAAGGCTGCAGAAGATCGCCACGCACATGCTGGGGCAGGCCGGTGGGCACACGCGGAAGGCGGTGGTCGCCAGGAGTTCAGTGCCGGGGAGCTACAGGCGCTCGCACGGTAGAGAATGGCGCACCAGAACGGCAACGCCACCACCGCGCCCAGTGCAGGCCTGAAGAAAGTCATTGCAGGCAGAAACTTTTGTCGCCACGTCGCTACGGTCATTTATTTCCTGGAAAAGAACGATGTCAGTTTGATGCAGCTCCAATCGCGCAGCAGATGCAATCTTTTTTACGGACGAGAGGCCTGCAATGTTAAGCTGCCAAACAGTGATGCAGCCACCCTCCTCGGTGCCACGGTTCGTGTGGACGTCACCGCAGCGTGTGATATCAACGGCGTGAGCGCAGCGAAACGGTCACGCAGTTTTGTCCGACACTCCGCAGGCAGACCGCTTCACCTCCCCGCACCGGGCATTGGCGTGGAACCCTCTCGAGGGGTGGAGTCGTCTTAGTCTCCGTCGTGCTCGCAGCAACGCCCTGCTGCGGAGTTCCTATATGCAGCCAGAGCCCCAGCAACGCGACAAGGTGCGGACCCCATCGCTGGGGCCAGGAGAAGCCGCAGTGCCTCCTGCTGTCATCAGGGATCCTCGTTGACGTCTTGATGCGGACAAGCGCCCATCGGTTCTTACAAACGAAGCCGTACACCTGCGGCACATCCTGCGCTGTGAGAGGCACGACCCTCACCACAACCGGAGTCGTCCACGCGCCGTCGGTACGCACCGCATCGTCAATGAAAAAAGCAGGGATGCGTCAGGGTGACAGCAAAGCATCCGCTAGCAATCGCATCGTAGGCATCACCACAAGCAGCACCAGCAACGCTGCAAGCCACGGGTTAACGTGAACCAACTGACGCATGGCGTACGTCGAAGGAAAAACTTAGTGGCCTCACAAGAATGCAAGAGGCTGACAATTCAAAACAAAAAAAAGACGATATGGGAATAACAAAGGAAGATTAAATTTTCCGTAGCCAAAGCATGCCGCCAATCAAATAAAAGTGGAATGGGTGCACTCAACCACAAAACAATGAAAAAACAAAACAAAAAGCCGAAGCGTGGGACGACCAGCGCACACACACTCTCATTGCTCCCGTAAAGCAAAACACACACACAGAGGGAGAGAGAGAGAGGTCGCCCACTCAATGCAATAAAAACAAAACAGAAACAGTTACGGTGCTCCGCCCACGCAGCCAGGCAGGACGGCAGCGGTGCGTGTCGTGCAAAAGAGAGCACCAACGGGCCTGCATGGGTGTGCATGCATATATACAATGGGCACATTATTGTGTGTGCCTCGTGGGGTGAGGTGAGGGCGAGAGTCCATGCAAGGGGACACACACACAGAGAGAGAAGGAAGAGTGTGTGTGCGGGCGGTGCACGGCTCTCTCTCCCCCACTCTCACGCGGCCACCACCGCAGCAGCAACCGCACACGCAACAAGAAGAAGAAGAAGCAAAAGAGGGGAGGCGGTGTGGGAGACCGCGGTGCTGCCGTCATTGTCGCCAGGCATCGTGTTTGGTTGATTAGTGGCGTTTGCACCAGTTTTGGTTTCTTGTTCTTTGCCTGGAGGATTCTCTTGATTTTGTTCCTCTCGCTCCTTTTCTGTTTCATCATTCTTTTCTTCCCCTTCTTCTTCTTCATTGGAACCATCATTGCCTTTGTGTTGTCCCGAAGAATAATCTCCTGCAGGATTAATTGGTGTTTTTGCTTCAACATTTGTTTGTTGTTCTTTTCCCTGCGTCACTTGATGTCCTTCTCCATTTATTCCATCCTCTTCTTGGACTGGAGTTTGGTGATTATTCGGCTTTAGTCCACTTCCCTCTTTTTCTTTTTTTGGTTGCTTGCACTTGGGCATTTGGTTCTGTT